TCTATTGGGATACCGAGTCAGCGCAGGTATTGATCATTTTCATATTGATACGCAGTACAATTTGTAGATACATTTCTTCTTTAGTAACATATATTGTTTTGTAGAATAAATCTAAGAAGGGCTCGACGAACCGTCTTAGCAAGCGCAAGCTTGACCACCACTTGGGATCGACGTCCTTTGCCAATCTTGAGTATCGTTATTGTCGAGACACGGTATAATATTTAAATATTGTATTCACATGCTACAATTATCAATATGGCCAAACAATTTTAATTTATTATAATTTGTAGGGGAAGCCGATAATGCCGATCAATTTGAAGGCAAAGTTAGCTTACGGCACCTTTCGCTCGACATATAAAGATGAAGTCAAGATTAAAGAAAACATGGTGTTGGTGGTAAAAATTTTAAAAATAAATCATTATATCCTATGTAATATGTTCATGTTCAATTCATTTTTTGCCAATCAAATATATGTCTCTTCCTTATGTGATTTAGGAAACTATTGATGCTGCGTCAAAGGATGCAGCACTACGTGCTACCCAAGAAGCTGTTGATGACCCTCATGTATTGTCTAGAGAGGAAAATGATGTCATCGCTATGAATGTGATGGGGTATAATAACCGAGGTAGATTTCCATTGATGGGGGTTGGAGCTTCACGGTGTACATCCAGAAAATCCTCCACAGCATCCTCAACATCCTCGACTGTGACAGGATCATCTACAAGGAGTTTTGCCACTGCTACAATTCTGCGCGTCACTCGTTATTTGGCGGTAAGATCGACCATACACTACTCATGCAGCTAACGAAAGCTATGGTTTCAGATTTGCCACCATCCCCCACTAGCGATGATATTTTCACACACATCGTATTGTGCTTGTCCGACAAGATTCCGGGTGAATTATTTGGAGAAGTCATGGAGAATGTAGATTTTGACACTAGCACACAGGTATATTAATAATACATGTCTTCTATTGCTAAATTTCATACTCTAAATGTAAATCACCATATTTTCAGACTGGACTTGAGGAGGAAGCAGTAGCGGCGTGCAGAGGAGGGATATCGACGATGACGATGACCCGTGATTCTATGTGGTAAGTTTGTTAATTGTATGTAAATTACTCCATGAATGCAATTCTTTTAATATGAGACATAAATAAGTGGTAAGTTTGTTAATTGTATGTAAATTACTCCATGAATGCAATTCTTTTAATATGAGACATAAATAAATTCTTTTAATATGAGACATAAATAAATTCTTTTAATATGAGACATAAATAAGCTCTGTCTCTATAAGCCGGAACCGGAACCACCACTAGAACAATCACTAGAATAAGAAATGTACCTATTTATTGATATTTATTTTTGTTCACACTTTCATGGGAGCACAAGAAACTGCAAATGTTGCTCAGAGTAGTGTTTTTTTTCATTGAAGGGTTTTATCATGGAAGTCAAAAGTTTGGTATAGGATGATTACCTCTTGAAGAGGGTTTTATCTTCTCTAGCTCTTATGGGAATCACAGTTGCAAGTGTTTTGTGTATGATACAGAACCAACAGTTTTGAACTAGCACCAGTAAAATCTATATGAGAAAATTGCAGTTTGCTACTTTACTTTCATTCTCAATAGCCTGTTAAGTTGCATTTTTTAAACTTTCTTTTTAACAAACCAAAAGTTGATTAGGACATTATCATAAACAAGGATTTTAATATGTGCATTAAATGCTTACAGTGGAATGGAGAACAATATTTTGGATTTCCAGACAAATTAGGCAAGCATGTATCCACAAGGAGAAGTGAAATTATATGAATGTTATAAACTAGTATATCTAAGAACAAGTTACTAGATTTTTTTACTGCTCCAAAATTTTCATGCATGGACTGTGTTTGGGGATCCACATAATAACTACATGTGATGATTTACTTATCTCTTTGTCGAATTCATTGTACACAGGTGTTTGTTGAATTTATTGTACATATGTGATGATCCACATAATTATTATTTGATTGTGCATTATTATTTGATCACAGATGTGGATGTTATCGATGAGTAGATGGGAGAATGGTTGATCACAGATGTGGATGTTATCGATGAGTAGATGGGAGAATGGATAAGACAATTTATATGTAAGAGAGAGTAATATGTATGAATTATCGATGAGTAGATGGGAGAATGGATAAGACAATTTATATGTAAGAGAGAGTAATATGTATGAATAATATGTTGGAATTGCTGTGTTTTAATTTTGAAGGGGTATGTGTGTATGAGAAGACATGATACATATATATGTTATTTATATTGAGACCTTGTATGTTATTGATTTGATACAATGTATGTTATTGGGACATATGGCAACAATTGTTGATTTGAGACATTGTATATATGTTGATGATTTGAGATATTTTATGTTATTGTGACTGGTATATTCAATTTTGAGATATTTTATGTTATTGGGACTGGTATATTCAATTTCAATTGTTGGTTGTTAATTTATTGGGATTTTGGTTTGTTGTTTTGTAAGCTGTATAAATATTTGATTGGATTTACAGGTTTATGCAATGGCAATTCAAAGCAATGTTAAAAACTTGATTCAAAACATCCCAGACGGTTTTTTCCGTCTGGAAAGACAAATCGTCTGGGATACTAAGAACACCACAGACAGAAAAAACCATCTGCGATGTATTGCAGACGGAAAGTATCCCAGACGGAATTCCGTCTGGGATAATTTTCGTCTGCAATACATCGTAGACGGGTTTTTACAAACGGAAATCCGTCGGGGATTTTTCGTCTGGGGAATATCCCAGACGGTTTTTTGCAGACGGTTTTTCCGTCTGAAAAGAATACCAGACGGATTTATTTTCCGTCTAGGAAAATCCGTCTAGGATGTTTCCTAGACGTATTTTCTGTCTGGGTTGCTCTTTCCCAGACAGAAACTAACTAGACGGAATTCCGTCTGGAATAGTTATTGTAGACAGTTTTTGAATTATTCCAGACGGAATATTCCGTCTGGAATGCCACCGTTTGTACCAGTGCGGCCACCGCCAAGTTGCCTGTACGCTCATAAGCATCCCGTAGCGCGATCACTAGCCACCTCCTAATTGGCTCGCGCAACGTCACCAGCCAGTTCTAAGTGTCCGCCCGTACTCGCCACCGCCAAGTGACCCGTACGCTCATCGGCCACCGGAACGGCGAACCAAGCGTCCCGTGCCCTCACCGACCACTTCCAATTGGCCCGCGCACTTATCAGCCAGTTCTAAGTGGCCCGCGTACTCACCGGCCACCGCCAAGTGACCCATACGCTTATCGTCCACCCTCAAGCGATTCACGCGTTCATGAAACACGCGAAGCGAATCGAGGGAGCGTACCAGTCAGCGAAACAATGAAATACACATAAACGACGGAACAAGTCAAAACCTGAAAAACTAAGAAAACCCCTGGCGGCCGAGTCGCGTCAAAACGACCCGGCCAGGCCAGTGGCTCCGCCCCCCGCCCGCGCCCC